ATAATGAGATAAGGATTAATTACAAAATGTCGTAATATCTACAAAGGATCACGACCATAAAAGATAAATCCCACACTCAAAACGGGATTTATTTTATTTCCAAGAATTCCATTTGAGTTGGGAGGCTTATCCAAACAAACAATGAATTGAGGCTTACAAAGGCAGCTCAACACATCCGGATAAGGCATTCAGACGATTCCAAGAGCCCTAGATGCCTTCTTCAACAAATTATTCTATATTTTTCCTCTCCTTTCTTTTCTTTTTTCTCCCCATATTTTTGATTCCCCTCTTTTTCTTCATTTTTCTTGCTCTCAATAACCATTGTAATTCTCATATTTAGTTGTACTGGAAAATCTAAAACCCTGCAGAAGATGTAACACATCGGTTACATGGAAGCTCTATAAATTTTTGCGTGCCTCTTATCTTTACTTATTTTCCACATACTTTATTTACTGCAATTATGCTACTAACTCGCCAATCATCTAAATTTAATCATTGGCTACAATATAAATTTAATTGTAAATTTCACTCTCTACAGCTATTTAAGATATGAAATCATTATTAATTCTAGAGAAATCTTAGTAAATGAATTCAGGGTGGTTATATTCACTCTTTTTTTTTTTTTTTTACTCTCCACACTCTTGCTAACTACACACAACCTTAATTTTTAAACGATTAGATTTACTTTTTACACACCCATATTATTCCCAAATTACCCCTAACTAATTTCATACTATTATTATTTCGTGATCATTTTACTTTTTATTTTAATATTATCGTTTGTCTCTCTCTGTTTTTTGTTTTTTTTGGTTGAAATTTTGGACATGAAGCATTGTTTTTTTCAAGTTCAATAAGGGATTGATTGCAGCTCTATTAGAATCATGAATCAATTCAAATTGAAGAAGCTCCGCTCAGACACTTCCTACAACTAAATTGATCGCCTACATGATCGAACCCATAAGCTACTAACTGATGAGGAATTTTATATTTATAAATTAAAAAAACAATTTAGGGAAAAAAATTAATATGAGAGAAAAAAAAAAGAGTGAAATAATTTGTCTTAAAAATGATATAAACGCGAAATGAAAAAATATAGAAAAAATATCATCATACAACAAGTAACAATTTATCATATCTCAATCTAATTTTTTAGAATAATCATTAAAAGGTGAAAATTAAAATTTTATTATAAATATCATTATAGTAATAGTTTATAATTTGGGGATAATGTGGGAAGAATAAAAAAATTCTCTATCATTAGTTTTTTTTCCAATAAAATTTAATTATATGTTATTTATACTGTCCTCTTTTGTCATTTTATGTACGGGGTTTTTATGATAAGAAATTTTAATTTAAAAAAAAGTGTAGAGAGTAAAAAAGACCATGAATTAATTATCATTATGTAATAGTAATTTATAGTAGTCTGAATCAAAATTAAATTACTGTGAGATGATTACTAATTCAATATGTATTAGAATTTCGATTACTTAATTATTCAATCGTAATAGGATTGTTTACTTGATTAGATAATTACTAGATTTGTGTTATTTTATTTGATAAATGCTTTCAAAAAAATATTTAATAATATAATTACCATATTTGCATTAATTATAATTAAAAGAAAATTTAGTGATGTTTACCCATATATGGTGCCAACCGTAGGTACATGAGAGAGAAATTCTCCAAAAATCGCAGTTCAATTGAACTTGCTTCCAGTATGAGGAATTATTCAGTACACCATGTGTATCACGTCATATTATTTATGTGGTACACTTGTTCAATGAGATTGTATTATTTGGTACGCCCGTTCAATAAGCTTTTCACTTTTATTTTTCTCATTTGGTACGCCCGTCCAATAAGTTTTTCACTTTTATTTTTCTCTTTCTTAATAGATATTCAATGCCCTATTAGGAAAGAGAAAAATAAAAGTGAAAAGCTTATTGAACGGGCGTACTAAATGATATAATCTCATTGAACAAGTATACTACATAAATAATATAACGTGATACACCTGATGTACTGAATAATTCCTTTTCCAGTAGTGCCTCTATATGATATAATATTTTAGGACACCATATTGACGTAACTTGTATTAGTTGCTAAGGTTAAAAGTGCTTTTTTAATAAAAAAAGAAAAAAAAAGAAAACACTTTTGTAGCTTTTGCCCCTCCACTTTAGGATCTGTTGGTGTTATTGTCTCTGCTCAATTATGATTTTAATCAAAAGGAGAGAACTAATTAAAGTTATTATTTCAAAGTAAAATATTTGAAATCAAAGTTTTTAGAGTTCTAGAAAAATTTCAAACAAATATTTATATTTTTAATAAGCAATGTTTACATTTTAAGTTTTGGTAGAATTTCTAAAATGATTTCACACCTTTTTTCTTAGAGAAATTAAATTCGGTGATTTTTACTTAGTTTTTTTTCCCTCAAAGCCAAATAAAAACTCGTCTAAACACCTTCAAATTAAAGCAATTTTTCGGACCCAAAAAAAAAAAAAACTAAAAACATTTTCAAGAAAGCAATAATACGAAACACATTTTTATATAGATCTTATAACATGTATGATTTTGCTGTTTGCCATTGTGTTCATTAGATGAGGTGTACAGAATTTCTTGGCAAGGGCACTTTTGTGTTGTTTAGTGCTGGTAGTTGTGAAATTCCCAACGACTTTAGCTTTTCTACATTTTCCAACGTAAATTATTGGACAAAACCCATACCGTTCAATGGACCTTGCAAGCATTATTTATTTTGCCCCTCTATCTCCATTCAAATTGAAGAAATTATAATAATCCCATTTATTTTATCGATTTGAGTTTATAATTTGAGTTTTGTTATAGTAAAAAACTCTCAGAAACAGTCACATTTAACTCTTTTACTACATTAAAAAATTCTTATATAAAGTTACATATCAATTCAAATTAAAAACTCGAATCAACGAATTAAACGAGTCTCGTACATTGCACCATTTCATCCTGGCCAAGTCCAACCGATTAAATGGAACACTCAGCAAAAATAAAAATAAAATAAAATAAATGGCCCGAATATTAAAGATGCATTAACCAAGCTTCTCTTTGGACCTCCACTTGTTCCTTTTTTTACAAATGTGCCATTGTTTCCAACGCAAAGGGTTGGGATATTCTTCGTTTTGTGGGTTAATTTCTATTTTGACCTTCAAGAATACTAGTTGTCTTATTTTATCTTATAAAATTTAAATTATATATTATTGGCATTCAACGTAACAAATATTTCACTAATAATACCTCCACGACGGAATTGATAAAAATTAAACGGAACGTAGCACATGAGGCTCAGGTGATGTCTTAATTATGAGAGTAATTAGTATTAATTGGACAGGTGATGTCTTAATTATGAGAGTAATTAGTATTAATTGGACCAAATCTATTTAACTTAACTCATCCATGATATTATTAACTCTAAATTTAAAAGAGTAAAGATCAAAGGTAGAGAGATAAACTTGATATGCGGCTGCTAGGAAGGAATAACAATACACTTTTTGCGATTTATAAATTACACAAAAATATATTTTTAGCTAAATTTACATATAATGAGCATTTTATTACAGATCAAGATAATTAATTGTTGACCGTTGCAGGCACAAGTTAGCGGTAAATTCTCACACACACTTTCATATTGTGGAGTTCAAATTTCTCACCTCAAATTAAAAAAAAAAATTTAATAATTTTGATTGTCGTATTTCTAAGTATTTAAGCTACAAATAAATCAGCTCAACATTAGGAAGAGAAAAAAAAAATATTAAAACAAGTTACACTTGTGCACCCTGAATTTATCGTCATTTGCATGTTGTACTACAAACTTTTAATTTTTAGACCTTAAGTTTTACAATAATACAATCTAATAAAAAAGAAAAAACAAACAAACGTCAATTAATAGACGACATTTAGGGAGAAATGCCAAAATTTAAAAAGTTTGGGGAGGGCAACTTGCCATCCAATAAAAAGTTTGGGCCTGTATTTGTGTAAAAGTCTTGGGCAATTTCTGTCCATTGATTGACATCTGTTAGCTATTAAACCTGTACGATTGCAACAAATTTATAAATTTACACTCTAATTTAATTTAATAAAATTAAAAGTTTGGGATGTAAAATACAAAATGCTGATAAATTCAAGGTGTAACAACGCAATTAACCTTTACAATAAATAAAAAATAATAATAAAAGAGGAAAAGCGCAAACAGAGATTTTCTGTTTTGTTTGCAAAATCAAAGAGCACAACAACTCTGCTTTTCTGAAGGATAATATGATCGTTCATTAAAAAAAAAAAAACTCGATCAATTTGAATTTATTAAAATTTTATGTAAATAACTATATCTAGTATCAAAAGAGAGAGAATATTTTCAAAACATATAAAAGGAGAGGTTTTACTAATTTTCCTATCATGAGAGCTGTGTAATTTTCTGACTACAAATAAATCTCTTGCACAACTATGAGAATTCCTTATTTACAATTTACAATGAGCGGATTCTTATTTTTGAAATCACAAGTCTATTCTAAGGCTCGTTTGTTTTACCGATTTAAGTTTAAAATTTGAGTTTTGTTACAATAAAAAACTTTTAAAAACAGTTACATCTAATTTTTTTACTACAGTAAAAAGCTCTCACATAAAGTCACGTATCAACTCGAATTAAAAAATCGAATCAGGACCCTAAAAAATAAATAAATAAAAAAACACATAAGAGGTTAATGAGAAAAGCTAGTTAGCTTGATTACAGTCTAGAAACACCACTAACATCTATTTGGCCCCTTCTTTTATAGTTGTTTTAATAAGATGACACCAATAAAATATAAATGAGTGCTTTTTCTTAAAATAGTAATAATAATAATAATAACAGTAAAACATAATTGTAAATACAACGCGCTTTCAAAGTCTGGTGGTTTTGACTATGCATAAATTGTAATAATTGCATGCATCTAGAACCGTTATCGTCATTCAAGCGTTTCTGTCGGCGTCTCAGTAGATGTACATGTAAAAGAGAGAGAGAGAGAGAGAGAGAGAGAGAGAGAGAGAGATACAGAGAGAAAGAAATGATGGAGGATATCAATTATGATGCTGAGCAGACAAATGATAATGCTGAGCAAGTAGCCGTGTACAGAGAGTGCCTGAGAAACCATGCGGCCAGCCTCGGGAGCTACGCCACCGACGGCTGCGGCGAGTTCACTCTTGGCAGCGGAGGAGGCGCGGCGGATCTCCACTGCGCTGCGTGCCGCTGCCACCGCAACTTCCACCGCAAGCTCACCAAACCATTTAAGCACCACTACTTCATGTCATCACCGCTTGCTCATGACAACACTACCAGAAATTCTAGTGCAGAGCAAATGGTGAGCAACAAGAACAATAATAATAGTAATAATAAGCGGGCGAGGAGCAAGTTTACGGCAGATCAGAAGCAGAAGATGCTGGCCTTTGCGGAGAAGCTGGGGTGGAGGCTGCAGAGGAATAAAGATCATCATATTCCGGTTTCCGACGACGAAATCGAGAGCTTCTGCAGAGGAATTGGTGTGAGTAGGAGAGTCTTCAAGGTGTGGATGCACAACCACAAGAGTCTATCTTCTTCCTCTTCTACTAATAATAATAATAATAATTCCTCTCTATCTACTGGCATTGTTTCTTCTCTCACACAATAGACTAATCAATAACCTTTTTTTCTTTTTTTTTATTCAGTGATTTGGTAATTTATATGCACGTCTATTACTGTTTGAGTGTTATTAATTACCTCTTTAGTTTTCATTCCTCATGATCTGATAATTACGATTTCATTTTCTTGGTAAATTTTTAATTGAACTGATGTTTTGTTAACCGCGTGCCTTGTCTACAAATACAATAATTAATTATTTGATTATAATTCATTGTCTAAGACATGCATGCATCTCTTCTACTCTTGGAATTCAAGCATATGACAAGAAAATTTTACTTTCGTCATTGACTTTTAAACAGTCGAGTTCTCGATCTGTCGAATCATCTCAAGTTTGCCTTCTATATATTCGACTGTTAAAATCGTGACCCAAAAAAGCGCATGAAGACCATATGCAGCTTAGTAAGAATTAATGTTGTAGTTTTATATGTTTTAGGTCTTGATTGTTAAGAAGAACGTTAGTGTTTTTTTTTTTTTTTTTTTTCTTTTTTTTTCTTTGTTTTTTTTTTTTTGGTTGAGATTTTAAGAGCCGGAAGCATTAAAGATCTATCTGAGGGAAAACTTAATGGATCGAAAACTTATTTTTGGGACCTATTAAAAGTCATGCACCAAAATGAGATTTGATCTAACTTTCGCACAAAACCAATTTAACATAAAAGGAAATGTTGTATATTATAGAGTCCTCGGCTTTTAATTGGCAGCTTTCTGCTGGCACAGTTGGTCTCGACATGGTCGGACACAACATTGTCAGAAGCACCTCCAAATTATTAAGAAAAAAAAAAAAGACTTGAGTTTTCGTTATTATTTTTATTTAGAATAGCAAAAAACGAAAAATTTATTGAGCAACTTATCTTGCCATATAGGATTTGCAACGTGTACTTTTTACCCGGTATGTTCTCCTTGGCTTTGTAGTAAAGATGCAACAATGGGCCGGCCCAGGCCCATCCTGACACAGCGACGGGTCGGGCCGACACGATCCGTCACTATTTAAGGTACAACCCAGCTCATAAATATTAGTGGGCTGGGCTGGACTAATATATATTGGCTCATGGACCAGGCCGGCTTAGGCCGAGCTGGGCCGACCCGTCTAGGCCCATAATGGGCCGGCCCAGCCTAGCTCATCTAGGCCCATAATATCTTCATGTTTTTTTTTTTAGTAATTTTGTAAACATCTTATGTATAATTATCATGATTGTACTCTTTTTTCCTTATTAAGGTTTTGTCTCACTGGATTTTTCTTAGAAAGGTGTTTATTTAATGAGGTAATCGTAAATAAAATATCATTTTTCATATTTCTATTGACTATTTAAACTTATATATTTGTTAACTTGTTTAAAAATTCACAAGTAAAAAATTAAAAATTAAAAATTAAAAATTGCATGCTTAGATGGGCCAAGATGGGCCTTGAGTGAGCCAGCCCATTCAAGGTCCATAGCACGGCCCATCTTGGCCCGCGGCACGACCCATCCTGGCCTGTGGCATGGCCCAACCTAGCCCACGTAAAATTGGCCCGTGGTGTGGACTGGGACGTGGTCGTTCTTATACGGGCCGGCCCGGCCCGCAGTCCGCGTGGTAGGCCTAAAGAGAACGGGCCGGACCAGGCTGAGCCGGCCTGTTCTTGCATCTCTACTTTGTAGGGCAACCGCCTTGTCTTTCTTAGCTTCATTTTTTTTTTTTTTCATTTTGTCTTTGACCTCCTGTTGTTCTTTCGTTGATGCATTGAACAATGATCTTCCTACTAGACTCGCTACAAGTAACGCTCGAATGATCAAGTACTTTCTAGCCCTTAGTAATACAACATACAAACTCTTAAGCGACAAGACATTGAACGAAAATTTACACGAAACCTCTATCGTTAATAAAACTATCGTCACGCTTGCAAAAAATGTTCATTATAAGTTTGATTGCATAAAAGAAGTATATATGTTTGGACCGTGCCTCTTGTTAGAAAATAAACATGGATGAACAAATTAATGAACAAGAGAAATTGGAACAAACAGTAAATTAAAGAAACCGAAATTGAAACAAATAAATATATATACAATATTCTGATAGTAATATCGAACAAAATGGTAGACGGAAAGAACGATAAGAAAGAGTCGAGGACCGAGTTTCAGTACATGGTGTCCTTAAAGCAGATTCACCCCTCAGTATCGGTACAAGAGGTTTTTATAGTGTCCATCTCTCAGGATATAACAACTTTTACAAGCAGCAAAGCGCACCCCTAAGCTACATATTGCAAACTATTAGAATCTCACATTGGCTGGAGATATTGGCATGATTCACTTAATAAGGTGGGGGTAATCCTCTCCTAACAAGCCGGTTTTATTAGGTTGAGTTAGGCCCAATATCTATTAATTTTTGTAAAATGGCATGTCCAGTTTTACAATGTTGGGTCTCCCAATATCGACTTATTCGCAGCAGTTTGACATGGTCTGCGCTGTACATGAGAGGCGTATTAGAATCCCACATTAACTGGAGATATTGGCATGATCCACTTAATAATGTGAGAGTAATCCTCCCCTAACAAGCCGATTTTGTTAGGTTGAGTTAGGCCCAATATCCTTTGATTTCTGTAAAATGGTATCAGAGCAGGTCTAGTTTTACAATGTCAGGTCCCCCAATATCGACTTATGCGCAGCGGTTTGGCATGGTCTACACTGTACGTGAGGGGCGTATTAGAATCCCACATTGGCTGAAGATATTAGCATGATCCACTTAATAAGGTGAGGGCAATCCTCTCCTAACAAACCGGTTTGTTAGGTTGAGTTAGGTCCAATATTCTTTGTTTTCTGTAAAACAAACTGAAAATAACTCTGAACTCTATAACGCTGAATCCTAGAACACTAGAGTAGAGAAGAGGATGTCTGAGAAACAAAGAGCTATGATCTTTCGGTGTGTCTCAATTAGGAGAGGAGGATTCCTTTCATACTGAAGGAGACACTTAGTTCCTTTACCGAAATCAATCTAAATTACTTCTAACATTTAAAGGCTTTTATTCCATGGCTTGACAAACATATTTATTACAAGAATTACATCGTGACTTAATTCTGAAACTAAAACTTCACAACAATTTTTAAATCAAAGATGTGCGTTTTAAATGTCAGTTTTTCTCAATCACCTTGTTTCGTCGTTAACACATAATGGGTCCAACTCAATATTAAGCCTCAAAACATCACCTCATAATGCTATTTTTCCAACACCCCATAGCACGTATAAAGTCTTATCATATTTATTCATGTCATTTTTATGTATAAACTAAGTGTTGGACTTTGAGACGCACATTAATGGTGGATAGCCCAAAAGTCAACGTCCGAATTTTATTTGAAACAAAATCCATGAGACGTAAAAGGAAAAATATTATATTAGAAATATTATGAAATATTTTCAATATCTTGACGGATTGAGTAATCGGATAACTTACTTTCTGACAAATAATAAGAGTGATACTTTCTATATTTTATGCTTGCTACTTTTATGATAGGAATAGCTATAAATATAAATATCCTATTACATCTCATGCTGGGACACCATTCCCAACAATAAAAGGTAAAATGTTGATTTTCTCTCATTTTTTAAGAGAAGAGAAAGAAAAGTGAAAAAAATATCAAATATAGTGCATTTTACAATAATATCCCGACACATATAAAACTATGATGAATGATTAAAGTGAAAATAGTCATTTTACACCTTATTTATTTGTCAAATTTTGCTCTTTATTTTTTCTTTTCAAAGGTGGCAGGATTAAAAATTAGTGGGCCCCATGAATTTCTATTTTTCTTTCTTTTTTCATTTTCTCTCTATCAAACAACCCAAAATTTCATTTTACTCTCCAAAATTCTTCCACTAATTTCTTTCCCATCCCTTTTCCACTCCACCAAAGACAATGTAAAAATTTCCCTAAAAATTATGAATCCTCTGAAACTTCTTATAATGATACCCTGCAACACTTCAAAATAATGGAAATATGAATCTTTACATAGTTCCTTTTGTTCTTCTAAGATTCTATTGATGATCGTGTTGACTTTTGTGCTCAAAATAAGAATAATAATTCGAAAGGGAGAGGCTTCAATCATTCTGGATAGAAGCCACTCGATTCACCACAAAGAAAGCAAGGCAACCGAAACTTTTTTTCAAAAAGACAAAATTGAAGTCAATTATAAAATTTGTGGAAAGCCTAGACACACTACATTGAACTACTGGCATCTTTTTAATCAAAGATATCAACCATATGATGCAACATATGCACTTGTAGCCATGAAATTTGTGGACAAATCTAATGGGGTTGGTTTCCAAACACTAGAGCAGCACAACACAATAGGAGTGAAGATCAGTTTGGTATTTTCGCACCTCCGGACAACCAAACCAACGGTCCGGTTTCATTAAGTCGGCCAACCAAAACTGACCAAGTACAAAGGGGCTACCAAACCGTAATCCCTATATACAGCGGTTTCAATTTCAGTTAAACCGACAGTTTTATGATTTAACGTTTAAACTTTTTTTTTTTTTTTTTTTTGGAATTCTTTTAATGGATAAAATAATACATCTGAGCCCAAAATTTAAGGCCCACGAAATAGGGGCTCTTAGAGGCTCAAAGAGTGTGAAAGCCGATGAATACACTGATGGCTTTTTATAGAGCTGAGGAAGGCTAAAACATCAGTTTATTAGCGAAGTGGGACTCTGACCATGAGTGGTTGTGAGTTTTAAAACGTCTACAAAATGCAACACTAATATATAGTTCTTGCATCAAGTCTTGCAAAGGCATCAGAAGTGTCTAAGGGTGCGTTTGGTATAAAGTGATCTTGAGGGTGGGAATGAGAATCTTGAAGATTTTCATGTTTGGTACAAGAATTGTAATTTTTAAATTCCCGGGAAAGTGAATCCCATAGGATTCAATTACCCCATTTTGGGGTAATTTGAATAACATGCAAGAGGGTGTTATTCACATTCTCTGGAATCTCAAACCACAGCAATATCACCAACACGGCTAAACCACTGCCGCAACCCTGACCTTGCAGATCTGTTCCCCATCCTCGGTTGTCTGCCACAAGCTCCCGCACCATCGCACTTCCTCCTCTATTTCAAGCCTCAATCAATCTCAAGCACTCCCCCACCGTTGCAAGCTCCCCCACCGTCGCACTTCCCCACTGTCGCAAGCTCCCCAACCATCGCACTCCCTCCTCTATTTCAAGCCTCAATCAATCTCAAGCACTCCCCCACCTTCACAAGCTCCCCCACTGTCGCACTCCCCTCCTCTATTTCAAGCCTCAATCAATCTCAGGCACTCCCCTACCATCCCAAGCTCCCCCATCGAGTCAACCACCCAGTCGCTCAGCGCCGCCCTCTGTTTCTTCGACGATGATCCGGATGACGCTAAGGCCGCCACTGTCTGGGTAAGGTACTCTGACACTCGACTGGCTCGGGTCAGGCTGACGTTCACAGCGGCGGGGTGAGGCGGGAAAAAAATTGGGAAGAAGACGAAGAGAGACGAAGGGAGAAAAAGAGCATTTTTTTCATTTTAAAAATTTTCTGTTTTAAAATTTAAGAAATTCTTTATTTATCAATTTATTTATTTTCTATTTTTAATTCTTTTTAAAAATTCATTTTTAAATTTTGTATATACTCTATTCATTTTTAAATTTTGTATATACTCTATTCATTTTTAAATTCATTTTTAAATCTCTATTAGGTTAAGATTTTCCTTAAAATAGATTATTAAAATGATAATTATCTAGATTAATAAGGTCCAATTAATTTTAAAATACTCAAAATTATTGATTTTTTATTAAAAGCAAAATACATTACATTACCATGCACAACCAAACACAGTAATTAAACATTCCTAAAAATCTGAGAAAAAATTCCTTCGTGCAACCAAACATGATAATATACATTTCTTAAGAATCATATTACCTACTATCACTTTTCCAGGAATATGATTACTGTTAATTACCACATACCAAGCGCCCCCTAAGTGGTAACGCGTGCTGTGACTTGCCTTGGAAATAGGGGTTTGAATCCTCACTGCCGCGCAATTTTTTTTAAATAACTGTATGTGTTCGGTTCGATTCGGTTTCTAAATCGTTAGAAATAGGGTTTTTTGGTTACGGTTTATATCGGTTTCAGGCAATGAAGTCGTCTCATATAATTTATGAACACCCCTACAACACATGACTCCAGATAAAGATGCATGACAAATTGTTAGACTAGACAAACACAATAACGGTGTTCTGTATGCACAGTACAGAACAGTTAAATCAACCTTGTTTAAACAGAAACTAAAAATCTTGTAAAATAAAATGTGGAATAATTAAAAGAATACAACGATATGGTTATTTAACGTGGCCAAAACCCTTTTTGAAAAAACCACATGTGCTGATCACACCAGCACAAAGTGGATTCCACTATCACCAAATGCAATTACAAAGCTTAGAATTACAAGAAATCTCTTGAATCTACACCAACTTCTAACTCAAATTGACTCCTTTTGACTCGCCTTTAGATTCCCCACCTTACTTCGAGTCTTCTGCTTGCCTTCAGTCCTCTTGACCTACTCCAAGTATGATGCTCGTCTTTAGTCCTCCTAACTTACTCTAAGCGCCACGATCTACCTTCGGCTCCTCCTCGGACCCACTCCAGATTCTTCACAAAGTTCACAAACTATAGGGTTTGAGAGTAACAAATAAAGTCAAGGATATTCACTCTGGTGTTCTCTCACAATTAAGCACAAATGAGAACACTCAAATTTTCTCTCAAAAGACTCATGTTTTCAAACTAGCTCCCAAGAGAGTCGCACCAGGTTCTCCGTAAATAATGAACTACCTAGATATGAGAGAGGTCCAGAATTTCTGACTTGATATGGGTTGTGATCCGATTGCAATCTCCACACTAAATTTTGAATGCACAAAATCTTTCTATTTTAAGTCTTCCCAAAATTCCAATTGTCATTGTATGAACAGATTCAAAATTTTTCGTAATGTGCGGACATACAGTTAGCTCGTTGTTTGGACAGATTACCTGAATCCTGCAGCTGTCAAAACACTCAAGACAGACAGCTCGTAATTTATTAATTAAATTGTAATCAATTATAATTTAATCTAATCCGAAATTTATCAGGAAAATCTTTAATGAAATATCCATAAAACTTGGTCAATGACTGTAATGATCCTTAGATGAATCTAGACACAATTATGCACAAGAACCGATTCCACAGATTCGGAAATTGCTAGAACTCAATGAGATTAAATTGTGATTAGAAATAAAAATGTTGTCACATAAAATCAGCACATATCTCCTACAATGAAACCGAAAAGTAGCCCAAAGGTCAATATAATTTGACAACTAACATAATCAGCAAATTAAATGAATCGAGACACAATTATGCACAAGAATCGATTCCACAGATTCGGAAATTGCTAGAAAGACATGTGATTAAATTGCGATTAGAAATAAAAATATTGTCACATAAAATCAACACATATCTCCTACAATGAAACCGAAAATTAGCCCAAAGGTCAATATAATTTGACAACTAACATAATCAGCAAATTATTCAATTAAATCGGATTATTTATGGTAACAAATAAACCAAGTTCTAATCAATTAGAAATGGAAACAATATGAAAATCAGCAACAAATAATTAAATTGATTTTAATACAAGGTTGCGAACAAAAATTCACAAATTCCATGTGGGCCAGAAATATCACATAGGATTTTTGTGCCACCTAGGTTTAAAAATCCTAACATAAATTAACCAATTGTAGTAGGTATGCTGGAAAAGATAGTATAATGGCTGGTAACGGTGATAACCTTCGTATTACCCATACTGGTGATATTTAATCATCATACTGGAAATCTGTTAAACTTGAAAATGTTTTGATTGTTCTTGAAATCCAGAATTATGTCATGTTTGTTATTAATTAACTTCTGCCTTTCCTTATATCTTTGAATTTACCTCCAATGATTTTTTTTTTTTTTAAAAAGAACAAGAAAGCAATAAAGAAAATACAATACTTGTGAATATTAAAAACGTGAATAATAATATATTACTTGTAAATCGTGATGATAATCATCAAGTACTTCTGGTTACCTTAGCCAATGTATTTCTATCCCAAACGATAAAAGTAATGAAAAAAGTTGCATATGGACAGTGGTACTGCTGCACGTAAAACCAAATAAACACAAAACTGGCCAGTGATTAATATATGTAAGATCACGAGTAGGTAGAATAACAAATTACGGCATTTAATTTGTTTCGTTCGTACAAATATCGCTTATAATTACAAGCTGGTTCCTTTGAAGTGATATGGTAAAAGAAAAAGAAAATGGAGAGAGAAAGTAATATTGAAGGGGGTGTGTCAGAACTGAAAAAGCAAAGCATAGTGAAGGAAACAACTCAAAGAAGAGCCAAGAGAAGAGATTTATCATCTTTTAAGGGGATGGGGATGAGTTAAGGACATCCGTTGGCCTTTTGTTTGGTTTGCAGAAATGATAGGATAGAGATCAGGCAGTTTTTGGAGGCAAAGTTATTTGGGTTAATTGTGACAATTGGACCCCAAAAAGCTTTCAATGGTCTGGCACATATAAGGAAAAGATGCGCTGCTTTTTTTTTTTTTTTGTTTAAGATCTGCACGCACTGCCATGGCTCTGATTCTTATGCATGCCATATGAGAATGACTCAAACATGAGAGAGAGAGAGAGAGAGAGAGAGAGAGAGAGAGAGAGAGAGAGAGAGACAAGAGAGAGAGAGAAGAGAGAGAGAGGTATGTCATATGTGTGCCTGTGAATTGTATAAGCTATAGCTGCCTAAGAGTCCAAGTTATGTTTATGAATTCATGAATGAGTTTGTTTTTGTGTGCGGCTTTTTGGAGACGTTGAGAGCGACGAGTGAGTCTCTGTCATTTAAGCCACTCTCACAACAGTTGGCACTGAAAACCATGCTACCTCCTTCTTTTGCTTTTTTTTTTTTTTTCTCTTCCCTCAATCCCTTTTACATTTATGTTTGACCAACACTGCTCTGATATTCACCGGCCAGCCCTTTCTTTCTTTCACTTTCTCTCTCTCTCTCTCTCCCCCTGATGTCTTTCAAATAGTTACCAGTCTTATATTTACATAAATATTATTGAAAATAAATTAAGAAAAAAAAACGGTTTCGTATTAATTTTGGTCAGTGTCATTCTTTAATGCTCGCAGACCAGTAACGTCAACTCCATCACGACTTTCATGGCCAACACTATCTAGAATATCTTCTTATTACATGATATATGTATCTATAGTAAAACTATATACGTATGTAAATGTTTGTACTCTCATTCAACGACATAGTTAAAGGAATTCTGAACAAAAGCTATCATTGTAGTTGATGTAATCATAAACTATATATAGACTGCATCTATATAGACTACATATATATATATATATATATATATATAGGAAAAGCCATCATGAGAGCATCTGATAAAATCTACACCGAATTAATTTAATGAACAAATAACAATGAAAACATCACATGTGAAGCTGCAGGATACAACACTCGATGCACTATTTACTACTGATGAATTTAATCACCTGATGATCATACAACTATATGACAATATTGAAAATAATACAACATAAAAATACTAAAAGAAAAGAAGAGGAATAAAAAAAAAAGAAAAGAGCAAATTGAGAAGGTCATCAACATATGATAATAATAATCACATTAATGAGATCATGAAAAAAGAGAAATGGACCTATAAAGATGATGTGTGGGGTAATATTAATTAGAAGATTTCCCAACACGATGATGATGGTGCAGATGATGATCAAGATCTCTCCGAAGAATTACATGATGATGATCATTATCTAACATTTGATGACATTCCGAGATCATGTTATAAGCAGCAGCAGTAGTAGTTGCAGTACGAGAATGAAACTGAAAAGTTTGCTTGCAAGAATGGCAAGTGAGTTGGAGAAGAGTTGAGTTGAGTTGCTTGAGGGCGTGGTCCTTGAGGGCCTGCGCCTTGTCAAGCTCGGCTTGCGCCTGCTGCCGCATTCTCTTGGCGTTCGCAAACTCCTTCTCGGCCATCTCCATCTGCCGCTTCGCCTGCCGCCTTGCCTCCTCCGCGTAACTCTTCTCCGCCATCGCCGCCTTCAGCTGCTCCCGTGCCTCTTCTTTCATCACCCTTGCTGCCGACGCCTTCTTCCCATTGCTATTATTATGATTTGTGTTATTAGTAGTAGTACTACTCTCCCTCGGCGAGTTCTTTTCACCGAAATCTGACGAACCTATTGACAGTTGCAATTGTGTAGGGCACTGAAGATTTTCTTCGAGTGTAGCAGTAGTAGTAGTAGTGGCGGCTGTAGAGAGCTGAAGGTCTAAATTGTGGAAGCGTGGAGGATTTTTTGAACCAGGACTGAGGATTACTAAGCTGGTATTTGTGGTAGTGTCTGTGGTATTATTGTTCACTAAATTGTTGGTATCAGTACTTGAGCGGCTGGGGCTCGAGGCTGTTCGAGACAAGCACGGTGCTGCCGCCGACGGAGGCGGCAGCTCCCGCAGTTGTGGATGTGGTACTTGGGATTGATCTGAGCGTAGACGCCCCATGTTGCATGCATCTTGGTGTTCAATGAAGCTCTCTACTCTATTTACATGCATATACATATAGAGATGTGCATGTGAAAATGAAAATGTTATTAGTACTTAATCAAGAACAGTATTTATACGTACCATAAATTAGAATAGATGAAAAAGTTCACCATAAACATGTCAAACCTAGCTATTTAGCTAGGTTCAATATATTGTAGAACATGAATTAAATAGAAAAGCCAAATACAAAAGTAAGTGTACTATATTTTTTATAAGGCAATTAGTGCTTGACCTAATTATATTTGGATTGATCATCAAAATGGTAAAGAAGGAGAGACATAGTGATTAAAATAAAGGAATCAACTACGTTCCATTATAGCTGAAAAGAAAAGCTAATCATTTTGAAGGTATACATATTATATTATTATATTTCAAATCTCAAATCATAAAACTACAGGAACTATATACAATAATTAATATTGACATGATATATATATATATGTAGATATAGTGACTTGCTGTTTTAATGTATGGGTCTTGGGATGCCGAAAGAAATAATCAAGGCTTGCAAAACAAACATCTCTCCGACCAAAGAAAACTGAATTTGGGGAAATGTGTTCACCTGCCTTTTGCTGTTTTAAGTTTTTTGTTAAATTAAAAACTTGAAAAGTATTTGGGATTAATAAGGTTCCATCAGTCATGACCAAGACTTTTTTCCCATTTCTTTTCTGTTTCTTTTTCTTCCCCTTTTCAAGCAGTCAAAACCCACAATATACATACACATATTTAAAAATATATATATATATATAGTTAGCTCCCAGGAGACAGGTAATATACACGTTTATATAAATAATTAATCAGATGATCATTGCATATATAATAAGCAGCTTGAGAAAGAATAGTAGGGAGAATTTTTTGAAATGACGAGAGAGAATAATTAACATCCAAATATTATTAATTAAGGATAGAAAGAAGAATAATTAATAGTGATTACCTGGAGAAAACACGACCGCAATCACAAGAATGACCTCTAGTGCCACAAGTCTTGAGATGGGCCTTGAAATCAGACTGAACGGCATAGGCCTTGGAGCACTTGTGGCAAACCCACTGCTTGTGGTTGCTGTGCTTTCGGCGGAAGTGCTTCTTGATACCGACGAGGTCGCCGAGGGCGTGGCAGGGGTCGTGGTGGAGGCACGTCGGTTCGGGACAAACGAACACCCTCTTCCGCACCACCGGGCTCTCCCTCTTCAGCAGCTTCCACGGCACCTTGTGCCGCCTCCGGTGCATCTGCAGGTTCTGGTCCCTCTGGAACCCTTGGTTGCAGATCTCGCATACGTACCGATCTGATTCCAAAAGTGTCTTCGGCGACAGGGACACCACTTCTGCATCCGGATCTGATTGTACATATATTAATTTCATATAGAATATATCAATAAGGAAAAAAATAGTCATAAGAATATATATCGTAAAGAAAATAGAATTTAACCATTAATTAATAATATATACATCAATCGGTCAAGGATCAAATTATCATAATATACACCTCTTCTTGATTCCATATTTAACCATTAATAATCCGGAAAGATCGAGAAGCCGATTTTGGAAAACGAAATTTGCTTCAAATTGATTAATAGGGTTTCGGCTTTATAAATTGATGATATACATATAGCTTTATTATATGCACATATATATATATATATATATACGTACCCGGAGTGCCTGCAGGCCTTCTTTTCCTCTTATTGTTATTTCCATTTTCTAAGCAAGAAAAGGGCTCCGAAGAAGGAAGTGGGGGAGGAGAGTTATTGGCTAACATGGGTGTTAATTAATTTGATGATCAAAAATTAATGGAGAGAGAAAGAGAACAAAGGGAGATTTGGGAAGAAGAAAAAAGAAAAAGAAGAGAGAAAGAGATATTTATTAGAAAGTATATGATGAGTAGAAGAAGAAGGTCAAGGCTATGAGCTAGAATGAGCAGTACATGTTGGCCTGTGGAGAAAAAAAGGCTCTTTCTTTTCTTTCCGCTGCTGATCAAAGCTTTCTTCTTTTTATATATGTTGTTGTCTTTTGAGAAGTAAGCCTCAGCCTTTCTTTTTTTCTTTTTTTTTTGGTTTATTTTTCCTCAACCAGCTTTTCTTCTTGCTTTTCTCTATTTCTTTGTTTCTTTCCAATAATAATCCAAACCCTTCTCTTCGATCATCTTCCTGATCAAGTGTACTAGTATGTAATTTGATGATGTGTTTGAGAACAAAGAGTGAAAGATTCTAGCTTCTTTAAAAACTTGTTCAAAAGGAAGGCGACGAAGAGAGAGAGGGAGAGAGAGAGAGAGAGAGAGAGAGAGAGCCAATCAGTAAGGTTGAAATAAACTTGATCCCACAAAGCAGCGATGGGCTCCAGAAGGGAAAACATCCCAACAAAGAAACAAAAACACACTCATAATTCATTTCCTGTACAGTAAAATTATTTTTTTGCCTTTTGCATATATATTTGCATGCATTAATACGCCCTATCCCTAAGCTCCAATTCCAAACATAATGTACACGTAAGCTAATAAACTATAGCTTTAGCTTTCCTATAATAATTATATCATTCGTTTTTGAAAAAGAAAAAAAAAATGGGGTTTTAATTCCGGTCGACATGTTCTCCATTTTTCATGTGTATATTCATTGCCCAAAGTGCCCCTCACTCGTTGATGTCTAGATGCTCAGATTTATTAAATAAGAAGCAGCTTTTATAAAGGTGCTGCTGAGGATGTAAAGTCACACTCAAGGGCATACTAGTCAATGAAATCATAATTCTCTGTGCGAGATGCTTACTTTTTCGGTAAACTGAGTGCATCAGCATTACAGTGAGTATTTAAAATTGGCAGGTGTCTTTTTTTTTTTTTTTGCGGGTGAATTTGGAAGTTTTCCCAAGTTTTTATCTTGCCTAAATTGGGACCGTATTTAGATCCAAATCATCTGTGTATCAAATTAATTCTAAAGCCCTAAATAAAATAAATACATACGTACTTCTATGTGTGTATATATATATATATATATATATATATTATGAACTTGTTTTTAATATTATGAAGTTTTATTGATCAATAGTTATTGTTTCTAATAAACACATATTTTAATATCAATTGATAATGTAAACGTGATAAAAGTCTGATATCATTAATTGTCATATATGTTTTTTACAAATGTTAAATCAATATAATACGTTTAGTTGTACTTAATATTACCAGTCATCTCAACACCATATTTATATTTACAAGTATTAAATCAATTACAGTACACAGTCCAAATTAAGCTATTACCCATCTCTTTTACATGTTGAATTAGTGCCACTTTACCCCATCTAACTTAGTAATCATCAGTTTAAAATGGTGATAATTTACCAAAGTACTTAATTGATATGCAAAAAGTAAAAAAGTGCAAAAAATGTGAGTCACGCACGAGTATTCTGATCTCCGAATTAAACATCGCCATTAGTTTGGGCTAAGGTTCTACAGTTTGACAAACTTAAAGGATTAATTGGAAAAAAGTAAGAGTTCAGGGGACCATTTGTAAAAGCACAAAAAGTCTTGGGGCTGATATAAAACCCAAACTGTTTCACCCAAAAGTGACTATCCTCGAGGTCTATCATTAACTGTGCAAAAATTTAAGGGTTATTTTCAATACCAGTTGTGAAGATCGAAACTTATCTAACTTTGATCATTAAATTTTACTTTTAAAAGTCTAATTACGATGACATTTTTAAAAAAATACGGTTTCAAGGTCATCGTTAACAAACTAATTTTTAGACAGAATCTAATAACAATATGGCACCAGAGCGAGAAAATTAATAAAAAAGAGCATATTTGAATAAAGAAAATTCTAAAAAATAGTCAGGTCCGAAATAAAAGCTAGAGCATACTGCCTGATCCATATATATATATATATATATATCTTTTTTAGAATATTTTTTTATCTCCCTTTTTTTAATTAGTTTATCTCTCTTAAAAGGTGAAGTGTTATCTCTATGCAACGTTATCTGAGAATGGATAGCTTTATAATTAACTGGGGAGTCAAAAGTAGCTAAATTTGTAAAACTGAATATCGAGAGTGGAAGTGAGACAATTGCTTATTTTCAGGTCATTTTTACTTAAATTACATTACACAGATTTGCTCTTCATTTTTTTTTTTTTTACATATTTGTTGCCTCTAATTAATTAATGTTTTGAAAATTGGTACCTACCCAACATTTTTAAAGAGGAAGACATTCAATAAATCTCAAATATCATAAATAATTAATAATTTAATGGTCATATCAACATTTTCATTAAAAAAAAACTGCCAGAATCAAGATAGATGGAAAAGAGTAGAGACATATCATAGTTTGAGGGGCACAACATATACATTTTAAAATTTATGGGCATATTGACACAAGTAACAAAGTTCATACAACATTTATAAACATTTCCGTTAAAAAACTTAACAGAGTTAGACTCAATGGGCATATTGACATAAGTGATAAAGTTTAAGGGGCACAACATACATAGTTTAAAGTTCAGTGAGCATGTTGACACAAGTGACAAAATTCAGGGAGAAATTATAAAACTTGTCCAAAGATATATATGACTTAATAATGTATGTTTCAATGAAAATGTATGTATCAATCAAATTATATAAATGTATAAATAAGTAGAGCATATTTAAGAAAACAAATTTGATGATAAATCAAATAGAAAATTAATTAAGGCTATGCATGAGAAGGAAAATAATGTTTAGATAAAGATACATTTGAGAAAAAATATTTTAGTGATTTGACAAAAAGTATTTTAGTGAGGCAAGTAGGAAAGTGACTATTTTTAAAGGCCACATTTGATAGAATGATATGTTAGAGGATTATAAATAAATAAATAAATAAATAAAATGCAGACATATTAAAAAGACGTTTCAGTAGGGGCAAATAATAGGGAAAAAGTATTTCAATGAAACACATTTAAAATATAAGATTTCAAAACAAAAAAATAAAAAAGAAAGAAATAAAAAGAGGTAGAAAGAGCAAAGAGAAAAGGGTGGGGGTGCGGGTGTGTATTGGGGCGTGGGGCAGGGGACCAAAACGAGAATTTCCATTATTTTCATCTAAAGACAAGACTTTAGCAAAAGAAAAAAAAATGAAGCCTTCTTTCATACACACAAACAAGAGAATTTTGTAGAGGATTAATCAAGTTAGAACCAATTCCAAATGTGCATATGAGAAGGAAAATGATTCTTAAGTAGGAAAATTATTTCAATGACGCAGTTAATTAGAAAAAAACAAAAACAAAAAGTAATCAGAAGGCCACTTTGAGAAGATAATATTTTAGAGGATTGCAAGAACAACATTTATTTGGTCACATATTTGACAAAAAAAATTATTTTAAGAAGAAAAAATGGTTGCATAAATATACCTCATAGCTTATTTTTCAATTTATCTATATGTTTTTAGAAAGAACAAGGTATGTTTTGACTTTGAAAATCTTATTTCATTTTTATCCTCAAGGACCAAAATATTTGGTAAAAAGACAAAAATATAATTAAATAGTTTTAACATTTTTTTAAACATGTAAAAAAAAAACTAAAATAGAATGTAATTTTCAATAGCAATATCTCATATTTGCAATTCTATATCGTTTATAATATGTTTTTGAATTTTTCTCCTAAAAAATTATTTTCCAACACTTAATTAAGTGTAATAAAGGTCATATTGGCCTTTTTCCCTTTTGTTTTCTGAAAAAGTACACAATGGACGGAATTGAAACAAGGTTTTTAAGAGGTTGTTCTTTTGCAACGAAGAAAATGTTTGAACTCGAGTTACAACTTTATTCAAGTTTATATTTATTTATAAAATTTGAGTTTGAACTTGAGTTTGAACTCGAGTTTGGAACTAAACTCAAGTTCAAGTTTTCTCTTCAACTCGAGTTCATAAACGTAAACTCAAGTTAATGAACAATAGTTTTTCTATTCGTTTTTTTTTTTTTAATTCTGATTGAGATGATTTTTTTCTATGCATTCACAACGAAAAGACGAATAAAACCCCACCCATATACCATATTAAAATTTTTCATCACCATTGAGTTTTTATTAAAATACTATCTAAATACAAATTTAAGTTTTGACCCACCCAAACACAAAGTCAAAAAGATTCTCAATTCAAATCATAACTCAAATGTGCACATCCAAACACAAACTCAAGTTATAACTTCAACTCAAGTTATAACTCAAACTCAACTCAAGATCATCATTGAAGTCACCTTAACTCAAAAATGTAAAAGAACAACCCCTAAATTTGACGGATACCATTGTTGTTTCAAAATATAGAAGAATAAATTGCATGAAAATTAAACCTATTGGATAAATTTATGTAACTAGTATTTCAATGATACTATTAAAAACAGGATTCAGGGGAAAAGAAACCAAAAAAAAAAAAAAATCTCAAGAAGAAGAAAAAATAGGATTCAGGGGAAGAGAAACAAAAAAAAAAAAAAAAAACTGTTGTTATGTGGGGCGTTATGTGGTTAGAAGGCATAAACAAGGCTTGAGTTTGAACTCATGGGAATGGATTAACGAAATCTCTCATACTAAAGGTAAGTGTTCATAATTTCGTTCATTAAATTACTCGAACTTAAGGAATACTTAAATGAAGTACTAAAATATTTTATATGCATTATTAGAAAATTTCAACACAAGAGGGACACAAAGAATGTGGGTTCTTCGTCCTACGGTATATGCGCGATATAATGAGAGTCGATGTTAATAATCTATAAAATATAGAGACAAATACTAATGAGCATTTGGTAGAAGTTATAAATGAATGGACACATTTTGTAAAAGGACATATTGTAATTAACTTATGTATACATTTTTATTTGAATATATGTAATATTAATTTGTTTATATTATGTGACTTGTGTTAATTGTGTGGCCAAAATTTTGATAAAATACGGAATTAATATGCCAACCCATGAGAAAAATAATAAAACATCACCAATTTTTTTTAGTGAAAATTGCAAATATAACAACGGTTTCCTAGATAAATCGTAGTTATACGTCTTCTTTAATGACGGTTTTCCAGAAAACTGTCGTCTAATACTGCCAAAATACTTATTTATGTGCATATTGGGACAAATTTAGATGACGGTTTTTTTAGAAACCATCTTCTAAGGTATAATTTTAACGACGGATAAAAACTGTTGTTTAAGTCTAAAACATTCAACGACTCTCAATTAGACGACAATTTGCATAACCGTAGTCTAATCTTTTAACGAGGGCTTTTAACGGTAGTTAAATCCACGATTTGTACTAGTG